GGCCCGTATTCACGGCCGGCCCTCTCATAACTCTCCTTCCTTCCATTGCACTTTTCGGAGATTGCACGTGGCATCGATTGAGCGAGAATCGAACCGAACGACGCTTTGCATCGGCGATTTTATTCAGGGGAGATTCCTTTCGATGCTACTTTTCGGGGGCTCCAATTGGAGTACTTTTTCAGGCTGCAAATTGCGCTTCGGATACGTAACTATTAGGACACCTGCCGAACGTGAAGCAAACATAATTATTTCAGTCATTTTCTTCTTTTTTTTTACAGCTTCTTTTCATCTCTCTGAATTTTAGAATTTTTTTAGCATTTTTATTTTTCGAGAACTTTGTACAATACGTAAGATTTACTACTGTGATGACAAGTGGTCGTCGATATCAAGCTCGTTTAATTAAAATTTCGAGTAAACAGTGATTATTCAGAAGATGAAAATCGAATCGAAATCAGGATACCGAAGAAGGTAGGGAGAAATTAGTACCAATTGTTAATTCACAATTTCACAGGTAAACGGTTAAGGAACAGAGGGAACGGAGAAGTTGGCGAAAGGAAAACGCATGGAAAAAGATACAGCAACGGTGTCGCAGAAACGTCTCGATAGAGATTCGACGAGGTATAAATTCCTAGGTACGCGCTGATGTATTTCCAGAAGCGTCGCCGCTCGCAGGCCACTTAATTACAACCGGGAATCGACGACGAAACAATCGAGGCTGAAGTCGCTACGTGCATGTACCGCCAACAACCGAAGCCGTTATTTAATTAAAGAAGAAGATCCCGAGAATCCTGTAAGCAACGTTCGCGTCTAATACCACCTCCCGTCGAAGTATCTTCTATTTGAGAGACTGTAAACCTTCGAATTTCAATTATTCATCGAACTCACACCTCGGCGAAATATGAGAAAACATACGCGGATGAAAAATTGCCAAAGAGAATTTTCCTGACTGTAACTGATGTTGATACACGATCGCGAAAGCACGGAGAAGAGAATACGCTTGTAACAACGTCAGACCTCTTTACACACCTTACGAAAAGTATCGAGGTCAACGTTTCTTCTCTCCCTTCTTCTTCTTTACACGTCTCCCGGTTAATTTCCTCGATCGAGAAAAACACCTTTCGAGAGTGTACATCTACCCGATTGAATTATTCGAGAGTAGAAATGCTTGTGCTGTTGTTTACGTATTTATCGATTGGTAATTCGTCAATTAACTTGCCACGTCTAATCATCGCGGCACGGTCCGACCAATTAGGAACAATTACGTACCGCGCAACGGGAGAATATTTTATCAGGATAATTACGTCTCGTAATAAAGTCTCATCCAGCCGGACACCAATCAGCGAAACGACCTGGGTCTCGACTGTAGAACGGGTAATTAAAAGCATTGTCAGAGTACAAAAGACAGAAGTGAGGAGGAGGTGGAGGAGGAGTACAAGACGATGCTCTCTCCTCTGCGACGAAAGACGAAAAAGACGAGAAGCCGGGAACGCGCCCTCAACGGAGACACACCGATGGGCGCCCCGGATTCACAGTGGCGGCCTGGCCGATTCGTAATTACAAAGTGCGATCTAAATCAATCTTGATTACACACGGGAGACGCTGCGTCGCCAATTTACGTAATACAAAAACCGGGCAGATTGCATGTTATTTCGGGACGATTAAATATAATCGTTCAATAATTATAAACGGGGTAAAAGCGTACGAATAGATGGTGTTCCTCGCGGCGAGGATCGTTACCTGCTTGTGCTCTCGTTCTTGGATTGTGTCGAGAGGGAATGGTTTATTAGTCTGGTCTCCAGTCTTCTGGTTTATCTCAAGTGTGTGCTTTGATTTTCTTTTCTTTTTTAATAAAGACAGGCTGTAATTTGTGAAGTATGAATATTGAGTATCTCTAAATGTGTAGTTAATCTAGATCCCTTTAACCCTCTATGGGCCCGTGTAACTTTCGAGTCACATACTAATATATCGATATTTTATTAAATAATTGAACTTTCTTCCACAAAATGGCATAAACGTCTTGTTGTACAATGTCTCCTTATTAACCAGTAACTTTCTTGATAACCGTTGTTACTTCACAGTTACAATATGTATCCGTTATGATAAAATTGTCGAAACTGCTGAATTCACTGTTATTCTGTATTTATATTTCTTTTACAGTCAAGAAAAATATTCGGCCCATAGAGGGTTAGTTGATTATCTCAGGTGTACAATTTTCTCTGGTTTTCCCCGATCTCGTTTCACCCTGTGCATTATTTTGCCATAATTTAAATGCACAGCCTGTGTCACGCCCAATTACATCGTCGTAAGATGAAATCTCAGACCCTTGGAACCTTTCGTCGTCGAATAAACCTCGCTCTTAACCATCTCTTACTTAGCGCACACGATTGCCCCATACCTGAAAGCATCCAGCAAGCTCACGGAGTCGTCATATCTTGCGGTAATTATACAAGCGTTCCCCTCGAATTCCACGGCCGCGATTGATCCGGCTCGCGAGGGCGAGCGTCGATTGAATTCAACCGAAACGGGCAATTAAAACCGTGCCGGTGGAATCCGCTCTGGATTCCATGCTGGAAAAGAGTCCAGCGGGGGCAAAGAAGTTGACGGTCGACGAAGAAAGAAGGTAAAAGGACGAGGGAGAGAAGGGAAGAAGTAAGAGAAGCTTCCGCGGTGACACGCGCGGATCTGTGATTTCACCGTGTGGGAAGCCTGTTCTCGTCTCGGCGGCGCATCAAGGCGAGACTATCCTCTCTCCGAGGGAAACAATTACTCCGAAAGCGAGTGCATAAATAAGGAGAAAGAGAAACGACCGGACAGTGGCGGCCACAATGCCCCGGCCGAGTGCTGACTGATTTGCATCGACTGCACGATGAGATGCGGCCCTCGAGGATGCAGTCGGTGGTCTTTTGTGAGAGAGAAGATCGAGGAGGAAATAGAGGAGAATGCTTGCACGTATGGATTCAACAATAGAACAATTGAAGCTGAATGTAACGCATTTTCTCCCTTCTGATGTAGGTACTTGGGTATATACTATCCAGGGTGAGCCAGGTGAAAGAAAGTAATCACATATGGGAATTTTCTCAAATGGGGAAACATGGTAAAAATGAGAGGAAGTTGGAGAATTTTCTATTTCGAAGTAAATATTGTATCGAGCTTACTCCTTGACATTCCTACGGTGGTCACAATAAGTATTGTCGGGGGTGGGTTCGAGTTTATTCGAAGTGAAGCAGAGCGCGACTTTTTACCCGCGGAAGGGAGAGGAAACGTGTGTCAAGGGGTGACTGTGGCTGTCGGCGGCTATTCTGGAGAAAGGAGGGCCGGGAGGGTTGGCAAATACGTAGGACGCATTCAGATCAGTCTGAGAAGGAGAACGAGGGGTGGTATAGAAAAGGTTTTCGGGACGCGTCAGCAAGAAACATCAAAGTCCGTGCCATTTCCTCCGGTCGAATACAAATGAAATACCGTACGTACTGGCGATTGTATCGTTTGCTCGTCGATACGTGGCAATTTCCGCGTGATACGTTCTCCTGAGGAAGGGAAAAAAAAAGGAACCGCCTTTCCTTAAGGACATATAAAAAAGAAATTAGAACAAATTACGCTATGCAAATATTAGAGAGCGGAACGAAACGATACGAAGAGATAATCTGGTCATTTTTCCAAGTTTCAAAGGACGAACAGAGCGAAGGAACTTTCGACGACCGGAAACGAACGGCTGATAAAGGAAATATCGACGTGTCGCGAGAAGGGAGCGGCGCATGTAAACGACACAAGCGTGGAATCGCGAAATACACCGGCCATAATACGCGAGACGGAAAATAGCGGCAATACTCTTGAGTGGCTAGAATGGTGGCCTGGGGGTCCTACGGGGATAAGGATTTGCTCCAAGGGGAAATACTCGTGCGAGTGGCACATGCGGGAATGCATATGCAGGGAACAGCGAGAGCAGGTGCGGTCCTTTCTGGCGCTTCCAGGGCTCCTCTCGCAAAAATTTCACTCTCCCTTTACCATTTTCTTACAATCTCCTTCACTCCAACCATCCAAACTAATCAAACTACCTTATCGCCTCTAGCACACTCGCTACATGTATACAGTCTTACAGAAAAATTCTACAAATGACCGAAGTTACATGTTCATCTCAAAATGGAGATTCGAATGGAATTGAAGGGTGAATCTCATAGAACCCCTTGAAATTCGAACGAAATCAAATAACCACACATTTGTCGCATTCTCGAATATTTCCAACGTTTGTTCTCGGTGATTATCATACTTTTCCACGAGAAACACGGAAATTTTCTTAATCCTGCGATAGAAGAGGGTGCCGAAAAGGTAGAGCCACGCCACTGAGACTCGAGGGCCGTATAGTCCGCCCCTTTGCCAGATCAATAATACGATTCCTGTTGTTGGCGCATGTGCGACGGGACATCCCCCATAAGCGAGCTGCTTTCCAACCCTCCCTCTCCTCCGAGATGAACTACGCTCCCGAGCGCCTTGCACCCCTCCATGCAACATTCATAGCGCCATCAATATTATACGCGCGAAATAATAACCTGTGCATTTATTATGAGGAGTAGGGTGGCTGGCGTTGCTCGAGTGCCTCGTGAAGGATAGAGAAGACGAAAGAAAAAAGGACACGACGCAGGAGAGAAAGCACCGGACAGGGGATGATAAATTATGCGTGTAAACTGTTATGCAAATCAATTGGTCGCTGGGGCGAGAGATCGGTGAAAGTGACGGATCGGTTTTCACGGTGAATCTCGGAACGGAAAAACGCGCGACGTTGACGCGGAATTAATTGTACACAGGGGTGTTGATTGATTCCGGATTCTCGTTGCAACTGCAACGGGAAGTGCGCGGTTTAAATTATCGTTCTTGGTGTGTACATCGAGAAACAATCGATCGATTGAGCGTGTCGGTGTTGAGATTAAGGGTTATGCGATATTTCGAAAAGAATTCGACGAAGCCGAAGCGTGGAATCGAACGTAACGGTGTAGGTTGCAGGCAAAATGGCAAATCGATCGTCGAAAGGGCTGTTGAGCAAGGAGACCCGGAATTATTTAACGAGGTAATCGCCGCGAGATCGAACCGCGTTCCACGATCGAGAAGGGGCTGAATACCCGCGATATTATCGAGATACGATGTTTGCATCGGTCCTCGCGAGACAACGAGATAGGAGAGACGAGAAAGTGAGAGACGAAGGGAGGACTAGTTGCGTCGTAAAATCTTTATTACCGTCAGGAATCCCCGGCAAAAAAAAGGAACGATCCTGTCGCGCTTATGTAATCTCGGATCCTCGAATTTCCTCATACATATCCCATTTTCTCTTGCCATCTTTCTCTCTCTCTCTCTCTCTCTCTCGTTCTTCTTCCTTTTCTTTTGCGATCAACCAGAGAAAAAAAATAGGAAAACGAGATACATCGTTTTCACCTTTCCCCTTCTCGATCGTCTGCCTAATCATACCTACACGCACGCCTTGTCCGGCCAAAGCATTTGGTATCACGAAAAGGAATATAATTTATGGAAAGTGAACTACTTTTCTCTCTGTTTTCCTTTCTTCTCCTTTTTTCTCAAGCACGCACTTCTGGGGACCGGTGTTCAACTGGATGATACCCATAGCGGCCGTATACGACACGCAAAAGCATCCGAGAATCATTAGCGGCAAAATGACTCTGGGTGAGTTTCGCGCTTGGACCTTTCGGGGAATTCGAGTTTCGCCGCTCATAATAATCACGTATCGCGGACTTGAGATCGTGGTGAAATGGCGGGGAGGCAAGAGGAACACAGATGGGAACGGGGACAACGCGGGGGCGAGAGGGACAGCGCGGTGGAACGAGAGAAACGGCCCCATAATATAATTGCCGCTCGAACGCAACGAATCAACGTTTATTTCTTAATGAGCCTCCGTGGAACACGCGCTTCTTTCATGGTGGCTCTACTTTTCGAGAGGGGGGAGGGTAGGGATGGTACGAAAGTTCGTGCCAGCGATTGAAAATTTGTCCACTTTCTTCGAGAAATGAAGATGGTACGGTGTGTGTGCGTGTGTGTTTTTTTTCTCTCTTGTTTGAAGATTCGTTGACTTTGGTCCCATTTCGGTTTCTGGTTTATCCCATTTTTCATTGACTTTTCTACAGCGTTGGCTTTGTACTCCATGGTGTTCATGAGGTTCGCCGTGAGGGTGAAGCCGCGGAATTTGCTGCTGTTCGCGTGCCACTTCGTCAATAGCTGCGCGCAGCTCGTACAGGGTTACAGGTTTATCGACTACCACTATATCTCGCAAGGAGCGGCCCATGACAGAGAGACACCTGTCCTCGTGGAAAAAAGGAAGTGACTTGGTACATTCGAGAACAGTTGTACTAGTTGTAGTTTGATAAAACCTTTCGCCTGACAAAAGTATTCAAACTTATTGCTCTTTTCTTATATACCATATTTTTGATCTTTAATTAGCAGCATTCTAAACAGGTTTTCCCATAAAAAAAAAGATAAAGAGAATTGCATAAAGTAGTATTGGTAAATTGAACTAGTGACATTTTCCCAAAGTTTCATGTAAAATGTAAAGCAACCTCCGACGCTATATTTGTCTTCCACTTTTGTTTCCCATGGATCTCTAGCCGAAAAGGGCACCAGTTTATACGCGATGGCCCCAATTCGATGGACGAATGTATAAGGAGAGCAATAATTTCGTAGGGGTCGAGCTGTCTCTCTTCTATTTCTTTTCCCGCCGCCTCGAGCAGGGCCACTCGATCGAGCTAGGGTCATTTTATGGGATCTGGCACGGATCAGAGGCACGAATCTATTCCGGTTTTCCCGAATGCTAAGCCGCGCCGTGTCTACTGTCCCGTTTCTGCTCTTTGCATTCGCTCGAAGGGACGCCCACAGTCCGCCCTCGCATCCCTGAATAAATATATATAGGCTGATTAGCCCTGCTTGGCTTCGATCATGCGTTCCTTCCCTTTATCGGTTTCCTCTGCATCCGGGAGATCACGGTGACGTCAGCTAGACCGCGTAGCGTAGACAATTATTATTTTAATTAAAACTGAATTAACGAAATTCTACAGTACCCTGTCTACGATCAATAAATACTACAAAGTTTCCAAGAATTTCATCGATCCCTTAACCCTCTGCCTTCGTTCGTGAGAAAAAAAATTACGATTGATTGTACTTGTACATTTTGATGGGAAGAGCAAGAATTAAGTAATTGACTGTTAATAATATAATGCAGTAGTATGGCAGTACTCTAATAAAATGAGACATAAAGTACAGACGAATGGATTAAACGCGTTACAGAGTATCAACAATAACAGCTTTCGTTTGCAACACCAAATGTTAGGATAAACTCCAACATATGTACCGCACACCAAGCGAGAACATCCAGCATCCCCTTTTACATCGTACGGATATCGACGCGGTGTTTCCCATTTTTCACAGAGGATCAGGCGAATTTTCACGGGCCGTTTTCGGCCAGCGGATCGAAAGCGGGAGGGAAAGGAAGAAGATCGCAGAGGCGAGACAAGGTCTCTCGGAGTGGACGAGTCCTTCGGGACTGATTTCACAAACAAATGCCGACGATTGAACGCTGGCATGTCGCAAGATGGATCGCTCTCTTTGAATCACAGATTACCCGCCGCCTTCCTTCCACCTCGTCCTGCGAGCCTCCTCTTTCCACGGCGTCGCCCGTTCCAACTGCTCTCTTCCTCCGGCCCTCGTTCGTCCTTCCTTTTCTTGCTCCACCTCCTCTCATTCGAGGCGCCTCCACCTCCGCGGCCGGACGAACGGAAACGACGAGAGAAAGAAAGAGAGAGAGAGAGAGAGAGAAAGGTCCCTTCGAACTGGCAGCACCGGCAATTTGCCACATGCCTACGTAGCTGCCTCTCCTTTTTCCTCGGGAGAGGACTCTGCGTCAACGACAGCCGAATCGGCCGCGAAACTCGCCGATCTATCGGCGATCGGACGCGATCTCGATGACCGCGTGACGTTCAAACATTAATCAGTTAGCGACGATTGTAGCCGCGCTCTTTCTAATATTCTCTCCCTTCCTTCTTCGGATTCTACTGGCGAATCCTTGTGAAATCGTTCTAATCCTCAGACCTATTTATTAGAAATAAAGTTGGAGTTAAAAATTAAAGTGTATCGCACTTTTGGTGTATAAAGCAAAGGGTTTTGCTAAAATGTTTTTAAACACCTTCTTCAGAAATTTCCAAGACCATTCACGCACCGTTTGATCGACCGACAAGCCGTTCGAGACGAAGACAATAAGATTCACTGCGACCTCGGGAAGAGAATAAAAATTAAAGGAGGAAAGAACGTGGTAGCAGGGGTGGAAAAACGGGCGAACCGCCTGCGGGAGGAGTGAAATGAACTGTAAAGCGGAATGCACAGACTGTAAAGCTCGTCCCCGCAGAAATCCACGAGCTTGAAAAGAGAAAGAGGAGAAAAGAAGGAACGCGGAGGAAGGAAATAGTTAAGGGGCGTCGTGTTGCCCCAAGGTCCCGGCGACTTTTCGTCGGTCGATGATCTTTAAATTAAGTGCACGGGCTTATGACGCCCGTGTAAAGTCTTTCGGGGTGGATTTTCGCGAGCAACACACCAGAGTGAGGGGGAGGGAGTTGAAAAAGGCTCTTGAAACGCGTGGCGAATGCGGCTTGACGAGCAACCCCCTTGGCGAAATGAATCAAACGCACCCTCGCGATGCAGGACACATACATTAGGCTGACACGCCATTCGGAATGCTGACTATTCCCGGAGAAAGAGAAAAATAAGGACACTTCTCTGGGAAGGAGAGGGGAAAGCGGGAGGAGAGGGAAAAAATTATGTGTCGTACCGTTCGAAATGAGATGAAACTGAAATTTTTCAGAGAGACGGAATGATCAATTCTATTTTCTTAATATTTCCAAACACGCCGGAGACACGGCGAAGGAAGAAACGTGTGTCACTGTTTGAAAAAGTAATGGCGAACGATAGCTGGCGAAGGGAGAGAGGAATATTCCTGGTGGATCCATAAAAAAAAAAAGAGAAACGCTCGAGTCACCCCTTGAAAAATAAGAGGAAACCAGAGCGGCCAGATCGTACCATACGGCACAATGAAAGCGTTCACCGTTAAAAAATCATAAGGGTGCCGTTTTCCTCGCCTCGTACCCCCGGCCCAAAGAGTCGCCTCGAATCTGTTACAGTGGAAAACGTTCCTCGGTGTTCTCCGTTAGAACCGTGGAAACGTTCGGTCTAGACTACTCGGAAAGTGAATTATCCGCTTCTCTCGACGAGCAACTTTGAGTTTGAAAATATTCGAGTGAAAAGCGAAATAAAGAACGAGGAGAAAAAGGCGGAGATCCACCAGCGGCGAGCATGAAAGTGCAAAAGGTTAAGGGATTCCGGGTGGCTGGGGAAGTTCGTCGGGATGTTTTCGTTCAGGGGGGAGCGCGCCATCCTAGATGGCAACATAATCCTCGGATAGAGGGCCGTGACACATGGGAACATGGGGGACATCTTATCTTCATATTACACACGCGCGATGGTTCTCAACCTGAAGCTTTCTCTCGTTAAATATTTATCGAAAACAAAAAATATAGTGGAAATTCTAACAAATGTGAAACTTAAAGTAGAGAAAGGTTTATCCTTTTTCCCTTTCTCGGAAACAGCGTATCTTCAGTATGGACGGTGGTGATCGAGTTTCATCGATCGCGAAATCGAGATTCTATTACTGCAGAAAGTGCACACGCCGGTCGGTAAACAAGTTCGCCAAAAAGGGAGGATTCGCGTGGTAACTAGCGTGGATCACGCGTGCACAACCGGAAGACGGGTAGGACACGCGCACTCACACGTGGACACGTTCGGGACGATTTCAGTGACCGGAGGATGGTTTATGAGCCGTAACCTTCCTATCCGCTCTATACCACTACCGCCGTTCCACGGAGTAACGTGACTTCATCCCTTCCCTGTAAACTCTCCGTCCAATATATTGGGGTTAGCTTCCGCTGGATGAAACTATCGACGCATCGGAGAGAACTTTCGAAATCGTCTCTTAGAGAATTTCGCGTGTTTGACGAACAAACGGAGATGATTTCCCACGCGAGATCGCGCCGCGAAATTTTACAGCGAAACGGCTCGTAATAAAGAAATTAGGATGCCGGTAGGGGATGCGATAACGTACGACCTTATTCCTTTCTTTTTTCCTTCCCTTCCCTTCTCCGACTTGGGTATTCAGGGTTTCACGTATTCTCCGACTGGTCGATCCAAGGGGTTTCAGCTTTTGCCGTCCAGACGCTAGGGTTGGCAACTTTGAAGGATATTTTTTATTCATGTGACGTGTTTGAGGGCGCGGAAAAAAACACATTCTACCGATCGGAGGCCGAAGATCGAGCCTGGGTAAGCGTACGTATGTCCTTCCATCCTGCGAGACCTTCAATTTTAAAATCCCCGACTCCCCGATCTCCGCTGAGAATTTTCATGAATTAACAATCGAACTACGGCGAAGCAAAAACACCTCTGACCCCATTTACCGTTTATTTTTTTTACAAAGATAAACGATATTCTGTGCACTTTGATTTTCACTCTAGAAATATCGTGCTGTTTCTTTGTGCGAGTGTAAATTATGCGTTAATTGGAATTTCATATTGAAAACGTGTCCATCGATTCGAACAGGTGTTCGATCGAGCTGCGACGAAAAAAGCTCTCCTGCTAATTGACCGGCTCAAAATCGAAGGGAAGGAAAAGTCTGGGAAAGTTGCGAGACGCGCTGCTATTCCCGCGGGATATCAACGAAATTCTACGGATCGGGCTTCTTTCAAATATTTAACAGCAATATCCAATTTCGCCCCGCACGACCCCGCGTATATTCAGGACCGATTCGCGTCCACCCTGTCGTTCGATGAAAAAACAAAACAAATTAAAACAACGATTCGTTGCTAAAATTTACGAATTGCGAAACATTCTGATACTTGGAACTTTCGATAGATTCAACCCCTTCACAGACGGAGTACTACTTCGATTCTTTTTTCTTAAAATCTATCACATGGAAGACATATTTTCTTAGATTATTTTCATCGATCAATGTATCGATTCGTACCTTTTTGTGAATCCATCGTGCTTAAACGGTGAATCGAAGCAACGAACTATCCAGGTTTCTCTCTTATCGCGAGTTCATCTTTTCGTTTGTCCTCGTCGCTACAGTTAGATTGATGTAAGTTCGCGAAAAGGTGAGGATATCAATGACGAGACGCATTACGACTCGTCAGTTTACGAGCGACAAGCCACCCGGTCCATAGCTAGAACTGGCCAAATGGAACTTCTAAATGGATCAGATGTAAGAGTTAACACAGCAGCGAAAGGAAGAAT